TGTCTTGCTACAGCCCCATGGGTGAAGCTATGCTCACCTGTTCCTTTGTAATATAACCCCTGCCCTGTTTAGGATAGAATCTTCCATGGAAGTGCCTTGGGTGTGTCCCCTTCTCTTTCTGTGCCCTTGGGTGTGGCCTACCCGGGTGTCAGTCAACCTGCTGACAGTGGACATCATGAAGATAGACTCAGCTCCTGAAACCTGACCCTTTGCTTCATTTGAATAATTTCTCCTCAATAAAAGGGGTCAGCGTGTGCTCTCACTCTCTCTCTTCCTGCGGACCCTTAAGGTCAGAGGAGCTGTCACAGTGACCCCAAAGAAAAAGGTATTTGTGTCTCTTGTGTGGTTATTTCGTGTAGCCCAATTAGCCCAGTTTAACTGGAGTGACCCCTGAGCCTTTTAGTCGTGAGAACAGAAACCCAGCAACTTCCCTGATTATTCCAGCCCTTCAATGATCCCTCCCTTCTCCATATTCCACAGCGAGTAACAGGTTCATCTACCTAGTTTAGCATTCTTATCAACTTATATATGATTTAGGCAATGCGAGCACAAAACAATGCTGTGTTTGTGTGTGGTGGTGGTGGTGGTGGTGGTGGTGGTGGTGTGTGTGTGTGTGTGTGTGTGTGTGTGTGTATTAAGAGACAGGGATCTCACTATGTTGCCCAGACTGGTCTCAGCCTTTTTCCTGCCTCAGTGATCCTCCTGCCTCAGCCTCCAAAGTGGCTGGGACTACATGTATGAGCCACCACACCTGACTCAGGGATGGCACATTCTTATCTCATGAACTACTTGAAGATAAGGACTCCATCTCAGATAACTATGGCATCCCTTAGCTCTAACCCTCAATTCTTTTTGACTGATTAATGATTAACTTGAAGATGCGATATGTTTCCATCTACCCATTCATTCTATAAGTATTCTTCTTTTTTTATATATACTAGAGATTGAACCCAGGGATGCTTAACTACTGAGCCACAAGTTCAGCACTTTTTATTTTTTATTTTGAGACAAGGTTTCACTAAGTTGCTTAGGGCCTTATTAAGTTGCCAAGACTGACCTGGAACTTGCAATCCTCCTGCCTCAGCCTCCCAAGTTGCTGGGATTATAGATGTGCACCTCTACAACCAGCTATTCTATAAATATATAAGTTCCTATTATGTGTCATACATTGAATATATAATGGTGAATTATACAGATACAATCGGCCTAATAATAATAATAATAGCTGTCATTATTGAGCAATCACTATGTGCCAGACATTCTGCTAAGCACTTCAGTTTAGAACTTTTAATCCTTGTAACAGTATCCTAGGGAGTTGCTACTATTATTGTCTCCACTTTACAGTATTAAATATGAAGTTCCTTGGAGTTAAGTAATTTGCCCAAGGCCAGAGCCAAGATCCAAACTTCCAGTTTTATGCTCTTAACAATGATTCCTGTCTGCCTGTCACTGTACTCTCTTCTGCCTCACAGAGGTTATTTTACAAAGCATTTTCATCCCCCTCTGACACTGACAATAATCCTACAAGGTGAACAGCATGGGTAAGTTATCCCCTTTTGTAGATGAAAAAAACCGAGGTTCAAGATCCTAAGTGAGGGCTGGGGTTGTGACTCAATGATAGACTGCTTGCCTAGCATGTGTGGGGCACTGGGTTCAATCCTCAGCACCACATAAAAATAAAATAAAGGTATTGTGTCCACCTACAACTAAAAAATAAATGTTAAAAAAAAAAAGAGAGAGATCTAAAGTGGTTTGCTAAAGCTGCATTCCAGTCAGAGCTGTGGCTCCCAACTTCCAGCTGGGCCAGAGAGGTGTTCTGGGGCCAAGTGTTGCTGGGTGTGTAGAAAAGAAGGGATAGAAGGGGAACTCAGTCCCCTGGGCCTGGGGCCAGTACTGGGTTGGCAGAGGCACAGGTCAACACCTACCTTGTGCACCCAGTCCTTGCAGTCATGGTCCAGCATGCATTTGTCCAGGGCCCCAGGTGACAACACCAGCACAAAGTTGCGGGCACCCATGACGCTCTGGATGAGCTTGTCCTCAAACTTGCCCGCTTCTAGCTTCTCCACATCGATAAAGACACTGAAGCCATGCAGCTGTAGGTGCACCTTCAGGAGACTGCAGAGAGGCCCTGTGTCACCACCCTGGCCTCTCCCCAAGGCCCAGGATGCCTGCTGCCTACCCCTCCTTACCTGGCCAGCTGGGAGCCTGAGTTTCTTCGGTAGCTGATGAAGACATCTGGGATGTCCCCACCGGGCTTGCAGCCAGTACAGGGCAGTGGGGAGTGTAGCATTTCTGAGGCCAATAAAAGAGAAAGCATGGTGAGGGCAGTCCCTCCCCACCACTTACCATGAAGTCCATCATACCTTGGAGACTTGGTCCTGTGTCTACCCAGCCCTCTCAGCCCAGCCTGGACAAGGTAGCTTGCTTCAAAAAAGGTGACTGAGGTGGAGATATGGGGCCTACAGGAAGGAAGGCCATTGATGAGTCCCTCTCAAAAGGTTCATTGACATGGACTTCCAGCCTTGCCCTCTCTCTGGAACTGCAGACCTGTACAGCCAGCTGCCCACAGGCACTCCAAACTCAATACGGCCCAGGTCCTCCTCTCGCCCCTTCATTCCAGTTTCCACCAGAAACCTGGGTATTTTATTTATTCAATCAATACAGATGTTGGGGCTGGGGTTGTGGCTCAGCAATAGGGCACTTGCCTAGCATGTGCAAGGCCCTGGGTTCAATCCTCAGCACCACATAAAATTTTTAAAAAATAAAGGTTTTGTGTCCAACTACAACTAAAAAATAAATATTTAAATAAATAAATATATAAATACAGATGCTTCTCCACTTACAATGAGGTTACTACTTCCTGAAAACCCATGATAAGTTGAAAATATCATGTCAAAATGCATTTAAGCTGGGCGTGGTGGAGCATGCCTGTAATCCCACTGGCTCTGGAGGTTGAGGCAGGAGGATCAGAGGTCAAAACCAGCCTCCGCAACTTAGTGAATTGCTAAGCAAATCAGTGAGACCCTGTCTCTAAATACAAATAAAAAAGGACTCAAGGGTTAAGCACCCTGGGTTCAATCCCTGGTACAAAACACACACAAAAAAAAAAAGAAAGAAAGAAAGAAAAGAAAAACAAAGAAAGAAAGTATTTAAGGCTGTGGATGTGGCTTAGAGGTTAAACACCCTGGGGTTCAATCCCCAGTATTTATAAATACATAAAAATAAATAAAATGCATTTAATACATCTAGCCTTTTGAATATCGCAGTTTAGCCTCAGCACCAGGCACCCTGCTCTATGGTTTCTACCTAGCCACAGGGTCCTATGTGCAGATCTTTGACACTATTCACCTCAATGGGCTCCCAAAATCCAGCTAGGATTGTCCCATCTAATTCATTTTTACACCATCCTTCTTTATTTTTTTTTCTTTTCTTTCTTTTTTTTTTTTTTTTCTGGCATTGCGGGGATAGAACCCAGGGCCTCACACATTAGGCAAACACTCTCCCAATAAACTACATCTCCAGTCACCACAGGGGTCCTTCTAAAACCCAAACCTAAGCATGTCACTGCCCCCATTTAAAAACAGTGCAAGCTGGGCATGGTGGCACATGCCTATATTCCCAGCTACTTGGGAGGCTGAGGTAGAAAAATCACAAGTTCAAAATCAGCCTCAGCAACTTAGTGAGGCACTAAGTAACTCAGTGAGACCCTGTCTCTAAATAAAGACAAAATAGGGCTGGGGATGTGGCTCAGTGGTTGAGTGCCCCTGAGTTCAATCCCCAGTACCAAAACAAAACAATAACAATTATACACATACACATAAAAACAAACAAACAAACAAAAAACTGTGCATGGCTCCTTATTCCCTAAAGAAACTGTTTTTTGAAAGTTATTTTTGCCCTAGACCTTTCTGTTTTCTTAAAACAATAAAATCTTACAATTTTGTTGAGAGCTGTAATGTGAAAATGATAAGAGCTGACCTGGTTTGGTTGAAGCAAAAGAATGAAGCCAAGGCCCAGTCCCTTGTGCCATGAAGGTGCTCAGTACCTATTTGCTGAATGAATGGGTTCAATGAAAAGAATTCTTCTTCCTATAGTATTCAGAATTAACACCCACAGATATTTGTCTGTTTATGAAGTAGAAAAACAGGGGCTCAAATCCCAATTCTGTCTTCTTTTGGCTTTTATAACCTTGGGAAATTAAATGCTTTAAATCTTAGTTTCATTATCTTTAGAAGTAACACTTATGATTGAAATGCTCTATCACAGAGGCGTATATTTTCCAAACTCTTCAAATTGAAAACTTACTTTTCTTAGGGACTCTTTTTATTCTTTTTTAAAATATATACTTTTAGATGTAGGTGGACATAATACCTTTATTTTATTTTTATGTAGTGCTGAGGATCGAACCCAGTGCTTCACGCATGTTAGGTGAACGCTCTACCCCTTGAGCCACAGCTCCATCCCCTCTTTCTATTCTTTAAAAGGTGTATAAAGTTGATTTAAAACATATTAACCACCCACTGCATAGGATGGTTGTAGAAATTAATGAGGTAATATCTTAAAAATTTAATATTAGGGGGCTGGGGTTCAATCCTCAGCACCACATAAAAATAAATAAATAAATAAATGTATACAAAAATTTAATACAATAGTACCTGGTGTTAATGATAATTACTACCTAAATAGAAAATTAGTGAAAATAAGTTTGTAAATAGAGTTTTTAGAGCTCTACCTCGATGCCATTGTAAAACACCTCCAGAAACCATACTTTGTAAGCTGGCTACTACCCCATGAATGGGCCATCATGCACTGTCCTACTACTATGGCACAAGCTGAGCCCTGGCCTGGGCTGCCCATCCTGCTACCCCATCCCTGCATACACCCCTCAATACTTGGTCTAAACTCTGAAGTTTAGATCTGGGTGAATAGGATAGTAAGTGCTGCCTCCACCCCCTACTAGAGTCCTGGATATGCTTTTCAGTAGAACCACCTAGCCTTCCTGGATACCCGCCGCAGACTGTGAACTTCTTGAGGGCTACATCTTTAAATCCTCACAGCCCAGTCTGCCATAGCACAGTACTCCATCACTCCCAAGCGAGGCTCTGAGCTCCACCGTGTCTCCCCTTGCCCCTACAGGGCCTGGGCTGGGGTGGGGTCCCTGGTGTGTGGGCTGACCTCTGGCCGCAGAGAGGATGCGGGCGCGGTGCACGCCCACGCGGATGCCACAGTCTTCCAGCAGCTGCTGTTCTGACACGCGGTGCAGCAGGGAGCGGTCCAGGCCGCAGCTGACCAGGCCATAGGTGTACTGTCGGAAGCGCGGGTCCAGGCTGCCCAGCCAGTCGGCCAGGTTGCTGCGGTCGCACGTAGCATAGTTGGCGAACGTCTTGAGTTCCGTAAGCTCCCTAAAGAACCTGCACCACAGGAGGAAAAGATGCTGAGATCCTGACTCAGGACTGGCTAGCGGCAGTGCGGGCAGTTAGTTAGACCTGGTAGGGTCCTGCTGGCTCGGAGATCCCCTTACCTCTTGCGGGTGATGCTAGATTTCATGCCCAGGTCTGCTTGGAGTTCCTCCTCTGTGAGCCGCAGAAGAAGGTCGCCATCTACCTGCTGCTCCTGGGGGAGAGGTCGGGTGTGAGGAAGGACTCCCCTCCCCCACCCCCAAATTTCAAGCACAGATACAAGGGTAGGAAACTGGAAGTGGCAGTGGAGGAGGTGGATGGGACCCAGATCAGAGATGAGGGACTTCCAGGATGAGTGCAGGCTCCCCATCCCCAAAAGGGCACCGTGGCGCCTGGAGCCTATAGGGCCACAGAGTATGCAGTCGCTTGTGCTCATGGGGACCCCAGTGACCCTGAGGCTCTCAGGGAAGCGCTCGGTCCCACTCAGGGAAGCCCGACCCCGAAGCTCTACCTGGAAGCTCTCGCAGTACTGGGAGAAGCCGATCTGCTGCAGCCACGTTTGGACCTTGGCCTCCTTCCAGCTGGCCGCGCAGGGTAGAATGCTCCAGGGCACCTCCTCGCCCAGCAGGCGCAGTGCGTGCTTCGCCAGCGCTAACGTACTGCCATTAGTGGAGTAGAAAACGAGGCGTTTCAGGCTCTGGATAGCGCCAATGTCGCTGAACACCTATGGAGGAGGGAAGGAGAGGACGTCTAGAGTCCACCAGCTCACCAGCCGCTCCCAAACATACCCGGTCCCTCCCACTTGTCTCATCTCTGTGCTGAGAATCCCCTCTGCCTCAATCTGCCCTAACCCTGCCTTCATCCACTGTCACCTGGTCCTGTGGAGTCTCCCTTGTGAAGTTCACTGGACTCTTGACCAGGTTCCCCTCCCTCGCCTGTCTCTTCCACAGCTTCTACCCACCTTGGGATGAAGTCTGAGCTCTCAGCATGGCCAACAGGAGGCACAGTGTAGCCACAGCCCACTGCACCCAGCTCACTTCACATACCTACCAAGGCGATCACACCTCGGGTCTCCACCCATGGTGTCTCCAAACCCTTAGTGCTTTCAGCCTATTTGTAGGAAACCTACTCATCCATCAGAATCCAAATTGATTAGCATCTGTTCTGGGAACTTGCTTTGATTCCTCCATAGCTTGGTCCACAACCTCCAAACAGGACTTGTATCATGCTCTGAATGTCACTGTTACTAGTGGATAATGCAATTTCCATTGGATTATAAGGTAAGGACATGCTTAGTCACCACAGAAGCTCTATGCCTGGCACAATGAAGGACAAAGACTGGAAATTCAATATATCTTCATTGAACTGCACTCATTTGTCCTTGATGGGAAAGGGGTGATAGAGCCTGTTGTCACAACTGCTGCCCAGTCCCAGTCCTTGAGGTCCTGCTCCCTACACCCATCCAAATCCTTTCTCCCAAAGCAGAATGATGTGCTTTATAGAGCAAGTCTCATGGCTCAACTCTGAGACTCAGAGAGAAGGAAGAATCAGAAGCTCCTAGAAAATTAGATGTTGGAAGAGACCTCAGAGACTCCTAACACAAGTCTTTTTGCCTGAAGGGACACATGTGATGAGTGACCATCACCTGTGAGATGCATTCCTCTGAGCACCCATGAATAACAGCTGTGGGTGCAGAGAGAGTAGGCCATGGGGTATACCACTCCCTGTGCACCAGCTGTTACCAACACCCAAGTCCTCCAGAGGACTGCAAAGTAGAGACAGTAACATTATAGGGATAATCTTGAACCAGTAATATTTAAAAAATAAACCCCACAAACTTTTGATGATGAAACTATTATTAGCCCCACAACCAGGGTAACAATTGCAATCTGTGGTCTGACCTCTTCAATTTTCCAAAGGATAAAAATGAGCCCCAGAATGGGAGAGAAGGTGCCCAAGGTCACATACAAAGTTAAAGCAGTAAGCAAAAGCCATAGTTTAGACCCTGGTGGTAGGGACCTTTTGGGACTGAAGTGAGAGATTTTTGTTTTTGCTCATTGGTACTGGGGATTAAACCCAGGGCCTTGCACATACTAGGCAAGCACTCTATCCCGAGCTGTTTATTTCAGGGTCTTACTAAGTTGTCTAGGCTCACCTTGAATTTGCCATTCTCCTGCCTCATTCTCCAGAGAAGCTGGAATTACAGACGTGTGCCTCCACATCTAGCTGGTGAGAGTTATTTGGCTGACACACTGATGTTCTACCCCAAGCCTCTGTCTCTGGTCACCATCTCCTTTCCAGATTCCAGAACCCAGGTAGCTAAACTGCTCACTGAAGCTTGCCAGCCGGGCATCTCTCACATACCTCCAACTCAACATGACCCACTGCACTCACTTTCTTCCTCTCACCCACTCTGCCCTTTCACCCAGTTTACCACATCCACTGGGCCACCTACATCATGGCCAGAGGCCTCCCTCAGCTCTTCTTTCTCCTCCCAAGCACCAAGTTGCAAACTCCATTCCTAAACATTTCTTGAGTGCTTCTCTCTGTCACTGCTGACACCCCTGACATTCCCTGTCCCAAGTCATAGCCTTCTATTAGGTCCCTTTACCTCCAGTCTCACCCTTGCCAACGGCCTTTCCACACAGCAGCCAGAATGATGTTTAACAAACACAAAATCCCTGTTTTAAAACCTAATCTTCCTCTTGCTCCCCAAACCAAGTACAAACTTTGAGTCTTGCCTTCAAAGCCCAAATGACTGGCCCTTCAACTTTTATGTTGCTTCATTTAATTATTTTATTTAGTTTGTTAGTTAGTTTTTGGTTTTAGGTGGACACAATATTTTATTTTTAAGTGGTGCTGAGGTTCAAACCCGTGCCTCATGTATGCTAGGCAGCACTCTACTACTGAGCCACAACCCCAGCCCTCATTTAATTCTTAGGTGTACTTCTAGTCCCACTTGAACGTCTCTTCCTCTGGGAAGCAGGTACAGGAGCTCTCTAACCACTGACCCACCCTACCCTGTACCACACCTTTGTCTTGCCCTGCAGGCTCTTGATGGCAGCCTCTGCGCAGAGGTAGAAGGCCCCGATGCACTGTGCTTCCAAGCGTGATGAGTCGAGTAGAGGCACCAGGCGCTGCAGGTCGTCTGGCCCGCGGCCCTGCCTTGTGTCGCTGGCGTCCACCAGGCAGCGCGCAAAGCGGCCAGGGTCTAGTGAAGCCACGAGTGGCTCCACCAGCGCCAACGTGCCCGAGCGCTCTACCTCGCGCTCGACTTCCTTGTTGGTTGCCAACACAGCCACAGCGAGGCAAGCGTGCAGACGCAGTAGCTCGTCCTCCTTGGAGAAAGCTAGCGGAAAAAGCCACTCAGCCGCGCGCTTTTCTACCATGTGCCGCTGCGCCGCTTGGCCGCCATGCAGCGCGCAGTTAGCCAGCGCCAGCGCGCAGTGGCGCAGAAGTGCAGGGTCTGTGCGGCGGCACCAGAACAGCACCGCGTCCAGGCCTCCAGACCCCACCAGCCGCTGGCAAGTCTCCTCTGAGTGCTTGAACATGTGCTCCAAGATGCCTGCCACGCTTCGCGCCAGCTCCACGGGTTCGCGCTCCTTCGCCAGGTTCAGGATCACGCCCAGTCCTATGCGAGCCACACGGTCTCTGCGAGGAAAAAGTGGAAGGGGATGAGGGAGTTACCGCAGCCTGGGGAGCTTGGCTTTCTCAGTATGGGGGCATGGTCATTTATCCTCTTAACCTCACTGGTATCACATGAGACACGGAGGTCAGCATTATCTTTCTTGCCTCACTCTCACTTCTAGACCTGCAAGGAGCAAGCTTCTCTGAAAGGTGCTCCATCTTGGCTACACCCATGTCCTCCGCACCTCCTCCCTGCGAGAAGCAGTACGCTTCCGGCTCTGAAGCCAACCCCCAGGGTCCCGGGTCCTTCTCTGCCATTTATATCTGTACCTCAGTTTCCTCATTTTATCAACAGGAAAATAAGAACACCTAACTAATAGAATTCTTATCAAGACTCATGAGATAATCCATATACAGTGCTTGGCACCATGCCTCCATCATAAAAACTCAAATGTTAACTTATGGTCAGTTTAAGTGTCACTTGAACTACATCACACTTAGCTCTGTCTTCAAACCTTTCCTCACTCCATATTCCATGACTAAGGCACATTTATTCATCCACTCACAGATATTTGTTGAGCACATACTGTGTATCATGCTTCTGCTAGAGAGGCTAATGTTAAACAGTGACCAAGGTTTACCTTCAACTAATAAGAAAGTCAACGATTAGCAAGTAACTAGTGTATGAACAAGATCTTAGTGATACAGCCAAGATGCTAGCAACTGGATAATGTAATAGAGCATGCCTATTGGGAAGATGTACCTAAGGAGGTGACATCTGAGAGTTAAATATTGAGAAAATCCTGCTTGCAAATACCAGAGAAGAGCAGAATAGTGAGTAAGAAGACCAGGACAAAGGCCTGGAGGCTGATGAGCTCCATCAGGGTTGGCATGATTGAGGAAGAAAAAGAAAGCCAGTTCATGCAGTGTCTAACCCCAACCAGGAAAAACTGAAAATCAGCAAGAGATCATATGGAAAGTGCACAAGTAATATTCAAATCAACATGGAAAAGGCAGTGAATTTGGTAGAAAATGGGCAAAGGACATAAATAGGTAATTTATAAAAGAGGAAATCCAAAATGTAAGCAAACAAATAAAGAGATGCTCTAACCCAGTAGTATTCAGAAAAATGAATATTAAAACAACAGCTCTCACTTTACGCCTATTAGATGGGCAAAATCATATGCTGGATCATAAGAAGTTGGCAGGGTGTAGGACTATAAATGTGCTGAGGCACTGTGGGTGGAGGTGCAGGCTGGGGCAGGCAATCTCTCCAAAGAGTGTCCACAGATTAATGAGGGCAGGAGGGTAAGGATGCTAGCCACAGTATTATTTGTGGTGTGAGGAAGTTGAAGTTGGTATCAAGGCCTGAAGAACAAAGGTATGTGGGCGGGTGCCCAAGGAGGATTTTGGAACAGAAACAAATGACTGAGCAGATGATAACACTGCAACTGGGGTTGGTGCTGGGGTTGAGGGCTGGGGATATAGCTCAGTTGGTAGAGTGCTTGCCTTGCATGCGCAAGGCACTGGGTTTAATCCCCAGCACACACACACAAACCAAAAACCCCCAAAACAACAACAACAACAACAACAAAAACCCTAATATTGAACACAGTGGTGCACACCTGTAATCCCAGGTCTGTATGTCTCCAGAGTTCAATATCTTTCATCTTTACTTTGTTCTTTCAGATATCTGATATGTTAGGGTGTGTTAAGGTCTGTAGACAAGTCAAAATAACACATGGTATTTTGTCAGGGGAATGTTAGAGTTCATAAACAAGTCTGGATGGTGCCTGGCAAAATGCCAGAGGGAATGGTTTGAGAAGTAACAAAAGTGAGCTATTAAGTGTGGAGATTCCTTATTGGTTGACTGATGTATCTAGTTTATGCTAATTAAGATAAGCTATACAAAATGTATAAATAGCTCTGTTGTCCTACAATAAACGGCTCCTATTCCTGCTGTATCAACGTACACAAAATATTCCGGTTATTTTGCTGCAGACGGACCCCGGCAAGGGTGTATTTAAGAAATCACCCAATCTAACATTCATTTTCAAAGGACCTACCTAAGGCCCAGGGAAGGAAAGGGCTTGTTCAGGAATATCAATTCAGAGCTAGGACTTTATTCCAGGTCTCTTTACCTGCAGCCCTTATCTTTCTATATGCACCTGGCACCTTGCCAGAGTTAAAATGTGTGCTGATTGTGGGAACTATTCACTCAGTTCCCAATTCTGTGATCTGAGAGCATACAAGTTTGATAAAATGGACACATACATAGGATCCATGCAGGTCTAGGTACAACTCTCAGCTTGAAAAGGGAAATTGTGTATATGTGACTTATACATATATATGCAAATACTTGAGTAGGCATAGACTTTCTCTGGAAGGATATACAGGAAACTTGCTTTCAGTGCATTGCCTCTGAAAAGGAGATTTGGCCAGGTGTGGTGGCACACAACTGTAATCCCATTGGCTTGGGGGTTTGAGGCAGGAGGATCACAAGTTCAAAGACAGCCTCAGCAACTTAGTGAGGCCCTGGATTCAATCTGTGGTACCAATAAGCAAACAAACAAATAAATAAAAATGAAGAGGGAGTTTGGTTTGTGAGAGGTTTTAGCTGTATTATTTCTGCACTTTTTGAACCTATGTGCAATATTTTTCTGCTTTTATTTAAAAAGCCTGTTTCCTATATTTACTTATTGTGTAATCTTATGAAAACCATTTAACCTTTCTGAAGTTATATTCATTATGGTCCCTAGATGGGAGTGGGCTGTGAATTTATAGGGTTGATAGTCAAATGAGACCCTCATGGGGTGTTGTGGGGCCAGGTTCAGAGACCCCACCTGTTGGACTTATTCTGGCAGTTTGAGGTGAGGGAAATTTTGGCCTGAGCTTCTGGGCAGTCAGTGGGTACAGCACCCCCTGGGAAAAAAGATGCAAGAATAGGAATGGCAAAAAGAGGTGGGCATATAGGTGGAAGAACTTTCTTTAACAGGAGCTGGTGTGGGGAGGGGTAGATTGGTATAGAAGAAAAAACATTTCATAAACACAAATTGTCATTATGTTTCCCCCCTTCTCTCTCTTCCCACCCAGGTAGTTTGGAGGAACGTATTTCTTGGGAAGGATTTTGATCCTGCACTGCACTCTGTCCTTGGTCCTGAAGTAACACTGGCACTGGTACATGGGTTGTTTCTTGGGACCAGGGACACTGGTTAGTGACTGCTCTCTCAGTAACTAACACCAAGTGAGGATTGTCATTTTCATCCTTGAGAAATAAAACTGTTTGCATCTTGAAGGCTTTCTCTTCCCAATTCCCAGGGGATTTAGTTATAACTGTCTCAATCCACATGTAAAGCCCACACCCACCAATCTGGACCCCACCACACCCAGTGAGCACCCACTCCATTTTTCTAGCCCTCCAAATTCATGACCTATCTCAATCAGGACACATGATGATAAATGAGACATTAATGACCTGCTAAACAGAAGCTGATCATGGTATTTTAGCTTAAACTGCTTCATTCATGCATTTTTTGACAGTTGTATAATTTCCACTAATTGCAAGGTGATTTGTTTCTTTTTGAAAATGGCAAACACTCCAACACACTCCCATCACATTTGTGAGGACTGCATGACTTGAAAGTAACTCTTGCAAAACTCTTCTAAGCCCTAGGAGCCTGAGAATTCAGAAAGAGACTGGAGCGTGACAACCTGAGCTGCTGTGGCATCAGAGGGGAGAGAAAGTGAACCCTTGGGTCTTCATGCATCAAGGGAGATGCCTAGAGGGAGGCAAAATAGAAGCAACTAGGCTCAGTTGGACCCTGCTTACTAAATCTTGGTGCTATTTGGGAAGGAGGAGAGAACACATGCTTTGGCGCCTGCCCAGCTCTGCAACTCCTTTCCTCCACCCCCACCCATTCACTCCGGCAGAAAACTTTCTGTTCCCCAGCAGCAGCAGCACAATGAGATCATGTCTAGTCAGGAGAGAAGATAGCATAGAAGGACATAAAAGGGCACCTAAACGTTCCAAGAGCTGGGTGTAGGTAGCCATTGGCAATAGGATACCATCTCCATCCATAGAACTGAAGACAGGCTCCTGTCCTAAGCTACTGGTGCTGAGTGTGAATCCTCACTGCACCATTAGTTCTCTGTGAGACTGTGGGCAAGTCACTAAACTTTCCTGAGCCTCAGTTTCCTCATTTGTAAAATAGAGGCGCTGATCCCTAATAGAGGTGTAGGGTGGGACTATATTAAGGTGAAGCAGGCAAAGGTACAGTCCAGGCACACCGGAGACCCAGGCACTCCACCGCTCTGGCTGCCCCACTACCCATGGCACTCACCCCCAAGCCCAGAACCCTCACCGGTTCTCAGCCACCAGGATCTGCTCCAGCAGGCGTGCGGCCTGCACGCGGGTCTCCAGCTCCGGTGCCTGCAGCAGCCGCAACAGCAGGTCGAGGCCGCCGTCCAGGCGGATGGCGTCGCAAAGACCCTGGGCCACCTCGCGGCCCACAGCCGGCAGCAACCAGGCCTCCTCCACTATCTGGAAGACCTCCGATAGGCCCGCGCCCACAGCCCGAGCGGCGCTCGCCTGCTTCAGCGCAGACAGAGCCTGCTGCAGCTCTGGCAGCGCACGCTCCAGGGCTCCCTGCACCTCGGTGCCCACCCCAGGCGACACCTCGCGGGACCCTCGGTAGCCAGTAGCCCACCATGGACCCGAGCCACTACCCCCATTCGGCCCCGGCACAGTCAACTGGTCGGCCCCGTTCTGTGGGCCCGACATGGCGAAGAAGCGGCACAGCTTGTAGGCAGAGAGAAGCAGGGTCAGGACCATGGGCACAGAGCTCCGAGGGACATTCCCGGCCTGGAGGGGTGGGGCCGGGAGGAGCGACCTGTACCTGGGGAAAACAGACCCGAAAAAGGGCGAAGGAGAAGAAGATGCAGAGGGAAGAATTCAGAGAAGCATCCCAGGCAGCGACTCGGCCAGGAGTGAAGGCAGCCAGGGAGTGCAGCGGTTGGGGAAGAGGATGCAAACCCCGATGCAGGGAGAAGGTGGAAGGGGACAGTGGGGGAGGCAAAGGATGGATCCAGACGCTAAAGGGTAGAGGAGGCGGCGGCCAGAACAAAGCGCGGCTCCAGCTAGGATCGCTGTACTGGGAAGCTCTGCAGCAGCCACGCCCCTGAGTAGCTGTGTTCCCGAGCCGACTCTCCTCTTCTAAGTCTCCTCCCTCGCCGCGTGCGCAGCCCCACCCCAAGCCTTCTCCAGTCCCTCCCACACCCTGGCCCCGCCTCTTCCCACCATCGCCTTCCACTGCTTTGCTCTGGATGCGGGAGAAGTGGAAAAAGAGAACTGTCACAGTTCCTCCTCCCGGATTGCGCTAACGTGAGAGCAATACCGCTGAGTGTGCCCCTTCCCCTCCTAGTGGTTAAAGCAGTCGTGGTAATGATTCTGTAAAATTCTAAAGGTTTTATGCCTGTTTCTCAAGCCTCACAATACGCCTGCGGGGTAGGATTAGTGTTCCATTTTACAGCTGACACCATTGAGGCCCAAACGGAAGACACGGGCCAAAGTCACATTCCACAGATTATAGAACAAAAAATTGTTGGCTGACAACTCGGGAAAACTCACAGCTTTCAGATGGTGAGAGGGGCTTCAGAAGCCTGTGGATGCCTGAAATGGGGCACAAAAAAATAGATGATCTGGGGCTGGGGTTGTAGCTCAGTGGTTGAGCGATTGCCTCACATGTGTGACGCACTGGGTTCCATCCTCAGAAATAAATAAATAAATGAATAAATAAATAAATAAATAAATAAATAAATAAATAAAGATTTTGTGTCCCCCTACAGCTAAAAAATATTGAAACAACAACAAGAAGAAGAAACAAACAAACAGGTGTTTTGTTCCAGCAGGCATTTTCTGGGTGGGGGGATAACACTTATTTTAAGAGTCTAAAAGTGTGCTGACTAAGCCTACTCTACAAACGGGGAGATTGGAGGTGGGTACAGGGAGTGGTCTGCCCACCACTGATGAACTAATGGAAGCCTCAGGAATTGGATCTGTTCCAAAGGGTTCATATTCACTTTTTTCTGTGAAGACCAGTTTGGAGAGATGACAGACCCACAAGGAGAAGCCAGAATTGAAACTTTGTTCTTTAATGATTAAAAAAAATAGCATTTCCCTGGATGCTTACCATCTCTGCTCCCACCCCCTTTTCTCTGTCCTAAATACACAGTGGATAGATGAGCACCCAGCCAGAGATGTGCCTGCTCAAATAAATCATGCATCAGTAGTCATTTATGAGAATTAATTTGAAACTACTGCAGGCCCTGAGCACTTTGTCTGTTCTAGCTCATGTAATCCTTCAACATCCCACAAGGCAAAGTACTATTAGTCCCATTTTACTGAAAAGAAAACAAAGACTCAGAGAGACAAAGCAGTTTTCTCAGTGAGTGACAGCATGAGCCTTCCCTCTGCCCTCCGGACACACCATGCTATTCCCTGTCCAGATGACCTGATGACCCTGAGCTTGGCAAGGACTCTGTTTCCCAGCTCTCCCAGGCCTGGGGTTCTGAGAATGTGACCCTTTGTAGTTGCAGCCTGTGGAGTAGGGAAACTGGGGGCTGGGCTAGAGGCTGAGCAAACAGAGTGGCAGAGAGGACAGCTCCTCTTCTCCAGTTCCCTCCCTCCCTGGCTCATTTTCCCCCCTCCCTATCTTAGGCAGCAGAGACTCCAGGAGCTCAGAGCCCAGCTTGCCAGGCCCGTCAACTAGAGGCTCCTTCATGGCACCTCCAAGGCCCCTTCTCATACTGGCTCTGCTGGTGTGGGTTGCTGTGGCTGACCAAGGTGTGCACCAAGGTGTTGATACCATCTGAGGCAATGTAAGGGTGGGTGAGGGTGGCTCGGTCTTGGCTGTATCAATTGACACCCCTTCTCCATAGAGTCATGCAAGGGCCGCTGCACTGAGGGTTTCAATGCTGACAAGAAGTGTCAGTGCGATGAGCTCTGCTCTTACTACCAGAGCTGCTGTGTTGACTACATGACCGAGTGCAAGACCCAAGGTGCGTTCAATACCTAGGTAGGTGGGCCTGGGGTCTCCTCTGAAGCTGGAGACTCACTGTCACCCATTCTATCTGCAGTGACTCGTGGGGATGTGTTCACTATGCCAGAAGATGAATATGGGAACTATGACCTCTATGAGAGCTCCTCCGTGAGCCCTGAAGGGACTCCTGAGCAGACAACTGTCTCGAACCCTGAGGAAGAAGCTCTTATATCTGAGTCAAGTTCCCAAGGGCCTGAGGTGGAGAGCTCGGGACCTGAGGGGATGAACCTAAGACCTGAAGCCACTGCTGAAGGGCCCTCTGAGTTCTCCACAGAGGAGGAGCTGTGCAGTGGGAAGCCCTTTGATGCCTTCACTGACCTCAAGAATGGTTCCCTCTTTGCCTTCCGAGGTGAGTCCAGTGGAAGGTCTTGGGGGTGGGGGTCTGCCTCAGGAGCATGCTCTCTCTCATACAGCCTCCCCCACTCTAGGACAGTACTGCTATGAGCTAGATGAAACAGCAGTGAGGCCTGGGTACCCCAAGCTCATCCGAGATGTCTGGGGCATCGAGGGCCCCATTGATGCTGCCTTCACCCGCGTCAACTGTCAGGGGAAGACCTACCTCTTCAAGGTGCCAGGCCCAGGGACTGTGGGTCAGGATAGAGAGCATTTAGGGAAGGGCTGAGAGCTGGTATGTCCAGAACCATGGTGGGCAGGAAAGTCAGATGCAGGACCCTGTGGTACCTGGCTGGGGCTCTGTGAAGACAAGGCAGCAGTCTGAGGTTCCAGGTCCTGCATAGCAAGCCTGGAGTTGGGAATGGCCATGTTAGGGTATGAGACTCTGTCTCTGTGCCCAACCAGCTGCCTCCTCACTCTCTTTCACCTTTTCTTCCTCTTAGGGTAGTCAGTACTGGCGCTTTGAGGATGGTGTTCTGGACCCTGGTTACCCCCAAAACATCTCTGAAGGCTTCGGTGGCATCCCAGACAACGTGGACGCAGCCTTGGCTCTTCCGGCCCATAGCTACAGTGGCCGGGAAAGGGTCTACTTCTTTAAGGGTACTCAGAAGGGTGGGAGAAGAATGGGCAGACAGCAGAGTTGTGTCAGGTTCCTTCCATGCTATCCTGGGGACAGGCCTCAGTGTATGCCCACCCCCTGTGCCAGGAGGTCCTATTTGGTGCACCCTCTGGGATCTCCAGCCTTGCTTAGGCCCACCCTCCTGATGTCAGCTCCCCTGCTCCTCAGGGAAGCAGTACTGGGAGTACGAATTCCAGCACCAGCCCAGCTGGGAGGAGTGTGAAGGCAGCACCATGTCGGCTGTGTTTGAGCACTTTGCCCTGCTGCAGAGAGACAGCTGGGAGGACATCTTTGAGCTGCTCTTCTGGGGCAGATCCTCTGGTATGGCTGAGGGAAAGGCTTGCTTTCATCTCTTGAGGACCAGAATCCCTGGGGAGGGGGAGGGCTGTCCTGCCTGCAGGGGGCTGATTGGGGAGCTATTGATCAAGAGCTATTTACTCAGACCAGACTTTGCTTCTGTTGACCTTTAGGGGGAGGCTTGGCTCCACCCAGACCCCACATCTTGGACTTTGCCTAGCACAGCCAAGGACACAACCAGCAGAGGGAGGGGCAGTGGATGAGAGGGTGTCTGTGGAGACCTAGGCTGTGGGGTGGAGACACCAAGGATATGGTAGACACAGGAAGGAACACTGGACAGGGAGACTGAGGTCTGCACTGGACTCTGCCACCAGCTTGCTGTGTCCTTTGGCAATGAAAGTGCAACAGATGAACCCCTAAAGGTCCTGCCGGAGAGGGCAAAACTGGGTCCTCTAAACCCCTCCCATGAACCCCTTCCCTGCCACAGGGGGCGCCAGAGAGCCCGGGCTCATCAGCAGAGACTGGCATGGTGTGCCTGGGAAGGTGGATGCTGTCATGGCCGGCCGGATCTACATCTCAGGCTCAGCACCTCGCTCCTCCTTGGCCAAGAAGCAAAAATCCAGACGTCGCAGTCGCAAACGCTACCGCTCCCGCCGTGGTCGTGGTCGTGCCCGCAGTCACAGCCAGAACTCCCGTCGGCCATCCCGGTCCACCTGGCTGCACTTGTTCTCCAGCGAGGACAGCGGGCTGGAAGCCTACAACTATGACTATGACATGAACTGGGTTGTGCCTGCCACCTGCGAGCCCATCCAGAGTGTTTACTTCTTCTCAGGAGGTGGGAGCCCTTGCCACCTCTGAAGCTGGTTTTGCTCGAGCCTTCCCTGCTGCCTCTGGTCTCCATGGTCTGAACGCCGTCTGAGGGCAGAGACCCCAGAAAGCCAGGCCAGGAGTCCTTAGTTGCACTGTGGATACAGTTTTCTTTCTCAGGGCAAGAGTGGGCAGAACCATGTAGGGTCTCACCCACCCTCTTCCATCCTCTCTTTCAGATAAGTACTACCGAGTTAACCTTCGCACACGGCGAGTTGACAGAGTGACTCCTCCCTACCCACGTCCCATCGCCCAGTACTGGCTGGGCTGCCCTGACGTGAAGTAGGAGCCAGAGTCCACACAGCTGGTCTTCCACAGCTTTTTCCTCTTCCAGCCTTTTCTCCCAACCCAATAAAGCTCACTTGGCCCTGAGTTTAAGACTACTGTCCTGACTGGGGTCAACGGATCCCTACCTGGGTAGAGAGCAAGCTGGGCTGTCAGGACAAGTCAAGGGGAGGAGAAACAGAGGAGCTTCAACTGTCAGTCCATGCTAGGCTTATTGCCCTCTCTGTGAACCAGAAAAGTTGGGGGCTGAGGAGGGTATTGGGAGAACTACCTTTCCTCTGAGCTAAGGAGCCTCCAGCAGCCCAGGTAGGCAGGCACTAAACCCCCTGGACATGACAGAAGTCACTAAGCCACTCCTCCCTGGGTTTGGCTTGCTTTGAGCCTTGGACTTGACTAGGGATTTAGGGTTTTAATGGAGATAGAAGGGGCAAGAGAAGAGGTAGGGTCATCGGGGTCATCATGCTCCTGTAACCCATCCCTAGGTAGGTGGATAGGCTTGCCTTCCTTCCCTCCCTCCCTCCTTCCTTCCTTTTTTTTTTTTTTTTGTGGTACTGAGGATTGAGCCAGGGATGCTCTACACTGAGCTACATCGCCAGCCCTTCTTGTTTTTTGAGACAGGGGCTCCCTAAAGTTGCCCAGGCTGGCCTTGAACTCAAGACCCTCTCTGCCTCAGCTTCCTGAGTAGCTGGGATCACAGGTGTGCACTACCACACCCTGGAGGATGGGAGTTTTTTGAAGTTTCTGTCCTGGGATTGGGGTGGAGGGCAGTGAGGTCAGGAGAGATAGGGAAGGACTGGAGCTGGAAGGAAATTCATATGTACCCCTTTCTTTTAGCAAACTAACTTCGAAGGCTTCTAAGGAAGAGAGCACTGTTAAAACATCACCTTTAAACCCTTAATTGTATCTGTGAGGCCTCCTCTGGCTCCAGATTCCTGGGCCCCAGAAAGCCTCAAGGGTCAGCCAGAAAGGGTTAGATGCAGAAAAATCTCTGAAACAGCTCTGGTGTGGACCTTTGTTCCCCAGCCCTGCTGAAAGCATGTGCTCCAGCTCATTTTCTCCCCATCAACCTCATCTTGTCCAGCTATACTGTCCAGTCAGTTGTGGGGTAGGCCTCTACCTACTCTTCCCTGAAGGCAGCCAGAACCAGGGCACAGAGGGCTCCAGAAGGGGCAGTTGAGGTCCTGGGAACACTGGAAAAATTTCAGTGGCCTTCTGGAAGGAGCCCTGGAGGATTTTCATGAAGTACAGGGCTGTAGGTAGATTGCCACCGGCTGTTTGAAGAGAAAGGCTGGGACCAGCTTCCTTTGTGAAGCTGGGGAAGGGCAGGGGCCATCAAACTGGCTCACCCATACCCCATCAGCCCAATCCTAGCCCTGGCCTCCCCTCCCCGCTCTGGGCTTCTCTGCCTCACTCTAGCTGGACTTTAAGCCTCTCTCCTGCTGGGGGTGGGGCCAGGCACTCAAACAGCATAAAACCCCAAACAGATGGGTCTGGTGTGGGCACAGGCCTGGCGTGGCCCTCTGGCTCCTCGGCCCTTGCCAGCTCCATGGCCAGCCCTGTGGAAGCATCTCCAGCAGGTGAGGTGACAGGGATATAGGGTGGGTTGGGTAAGAGGTGGGGCAGGGTGTGATGGGGAAGGTTGAAGAGGGTTGGCTAGTGCAGACTGCAGAGTCCGGCTCTGGCAAGAAGTCCTGGCTTGACCCCCATGTCAACCCCTAGGCCATGCCAGTGGGTTCGGTCCCCACCGGAGAAAGAGAATCACATTTAGCGTTGGGCAGCTGCTGGAGTTGGAGCGGGTGTTTGCAGCACGACCCTATCCTGACATTGGTACCCGTGAACACCTTGCCCGACTCACTTGCCTACCGGAGGCCAAGATACAGGTGAGCCATGACCTCCCCCAAGGATAGGTTACTTTCATACAGCCAACTTCTGGCCTTAACCCACAGCTCCTCTCTGGGTATTCTGCCTTCAGGGTCTGTCCTGTCCCAGGGAAGTGGTGCTGGAGACAGAATAGTCCTCTTCATCTTCCTTACCAGGTGTGGTTCCAGAACCGCCGGGCCAAGAAAATCAAGAACAGAAATCCAGGAGGCCTAAGTCCCAGGCCTCAGCCTCCCCAGAGCTGCTGTTCTCTTCCAGATACCCCCCAGCAGCCCTGGACACCCCCAACGCTGGTCCAGCCTCCACCTGCCACCAGCACAGCTCAGTGCACCTCGGTGTGTTCACAGGCCTTGTGTGTAGCTCCCAGCTTGGGTCTAGGTCAGGGCTGGGCAGTGATGAAAGCTGTAGCCCCACGGGGACCTGCTGAGGTCTCAGGGGTCCACCCTTCTTTGGAGCAAGCTACTCCTCAAACCTCCTTGGGCAGCCTATCTGACCTTATTTATGCCTCAGCTGTTGTCACCAATGCAGACCACTCCTGATCCAGGTCCAGAATTTCCAAGACCTCTCCTCTGGCTCTTACAGTCCATCCAGCCCACTTAGGACTGAACACATCAGAACTGGATCCCCTGCCCTCTTCTTTTACATAAAGAAAAACTCTAATGGGAAGAGTTTAGTTTCGGGACCCCTCCCTTCCACTTCCAGGCCAACTCAGACGCAGGTCCTCGGCAGTGACTGCAGCATGGTACTTGCTACCCAGCACCCTGGACCCTCCTAGGGCATATCAATTGTCTTGACAGTACCATCAGGATGAGTTAAGGAGTCATGTTTCCCATCTCTCCTGCTAGGACCTGCCCCCAGTTCTCACCACAGAGATGACCTCCTCCCTCTGATGGGGCAGCCATCTGTCTGACCAGGGCCCTTTAGGCCATTACCTAAATGCCTGCTATGCATGCTAGGGGAAGAGGGCTGCTCCTACTCTTGATTGCTGGAAACCCACCTTTTTATGGTTCAGGGGCCCCTCATCTCCTACCTCCTGGACAAATTAATCATAACTATGGACCTGAAGAGGGAACGATATTAAAGTAATAAAAGTAGAAAAGGACCCTGGGGCTTAAGTTGATTTAATTTTCCAAAAAAAAAAAAAAATCAGATTGCCTTCTGATGTGGGGCTGTGGAAACAACCTGACAGATTTGGGGTTGAGGGGGGTACAGCAGCACTGGGGTTTGGTATCACTGTCATCTGTAATACCAACTAATCTCCAAATAAAACCCAACTCTGTACTTTAATCTGGATTGTTGTATGTTGCAAATGAATGAGGCTGAGGGCTGTTTGCCTTGGAAATTTATCTTTATCACCTAATCCCTAAATAGGGCCAGGTTCCACACAGATTCTGGGTGGGAGGTATTACAAAGGCTTCTGCTGAGATTAGTTAGGGGGATGGTTAATTGAAGGGCTTAGGGCTCTGACTGAGGCCCTGAGTAATGGGAGCCTCTACCAGCACCCCTGTCGCAGTCCTACTAACTTCAGCACATCCCAGTTACCTCCACTTCTGGAGTTGCTCAGCTTTGGGGAGAAAAGCAGAGTTGGTGATCAGACTGCACTGGACTGAAATCCTGGCTCTGCTATTTAACTGGCAACTCTCTGAAACTATGTGCATGAAAAGCTGAGGGAAAAACTTGCTTGTCTCCTTTTTGGGAATAAGAAACAATGTAGGCAAAGGGCTTCATACAGTGTGTGACATATGATAAAAACTCCAAAAATTGCTAGTTCCCTTTGCTGTTTCATACTACAGCTCAAGAGGAACTGGGAAGGGGCTGGGGATGTGGCTCAAGCGGTAGTGTGCTCACCTAGCATGCGTGAGGCACTGGGTTCGATTCTCAGCACCACGTAAAAATAAAACAAAGATATTGTGTATTAAAAAAAAAAAAACAGGAACTAGGAAGGCCTCAAACTTCTTGTTTTTCTGACATCCTGCCAAACATTTCCTGAACCCAGAGTGTCATGGAGAAAGCATGGTACCCTGAGAGGAAGTGGCAAAGACAATGCTCCCTTCACTGTAGTAAATGAGGACTGGCCCTAGCAGATTTTTTTTTTTTTTTAGGTGCTAGGGACCAAACCCAGGGCCTTGCACATGGTTGGCAAGTGCTCTACCATTGAGCAACACCACCATCCTCCCTTGCAGATGGAACCCTCCTTGCACAATGGCCATTGCCTCCTCTTCATTCACTAGGAGGAGCTAGGTCTTTTGCCTCAGATGCTAACTTGGTGTCCAGCCCATAAAGCAGCTCTCAATAAGATTGAAATGCCATAGAAGCTTGTTAACTTGTGAGGAGGTGGTTGGGATCTAGTGTAGATTCCATCCTAATAAATGGTGGAGGGAAGAGAACAACTCCAATTCTGCCACATGTCTGTAATCCCAGCTACTTGGGGGGGGGCTGAGGCAGAAGGATCAAGACCAGTCTGGGCAACTCAGTGAGACCTTATCTCAAAATAAAAAATAAAAAGGGCTGGGGATATAGCCTAGTGGTAGAATGCCCATGGGTTCAAACCCAATTTGGGATCAGGGGGAGAGGGAATGACCTCGATTTTACTGTGGGATGTCCTAGGGTCAGAATCTGTTTGAGGAGATTCTGATTAAGTTAGATCTCTTTTAACATCTGGAATCCATTCAACCTAAATTCAAGTCCTGGGGAGAGGTGAAAGCTTATAGCTAGATGGGCAGTCTGGAGCACAGAGTACAAGGAAGTACAGCCATGAACCCCACAAGGCTTTTGAAGCTTTCTGACCAAGCTTCAATAGTTCAGGTTACTAGGAACACTGTAAAATGTCACCTACATTTTCTCACAGGTGACATCTCTCTCAACTACCAGAAACTGGCAAATGTTGTAGGGGAAATGTCTACTAAGCCACTGTGTATATAATCTCTAAGAATAAAAAAGTTCTGGAAAAAAACAAGAACTACAGGAGCATGTATAATGAACAAACAGTAAGGAGTCAATCTTTAGGAGCAAATCCTGAAAAACAGAATTATGGAGATCTTTCTGCTTTGTATATCTGACACAGGATTTGAAATAAGAATACACTGGGCACAATAAATATTTATTGGATAAATAACTTAAGGTTGATACACTTTCAAATTCCATATAAAGATTCTACTATCACACGACTTATCTAAGTTCTCAGAAGTTTAATGTTAGAGACATCAGGGCAACATAGGAATCTTTGGCTCCAATCAACAGAAGAAAGACCATAGCTGGCCATTTGGTCTCAGTCTAGACTGTTTTGCCTTCTGGAAAAGGGGCCCAACACCACTTCCTTTTCCAAAAAGGTAGCTGCCTGGCTCCAGATCTACCATACCATACCAATCTTTCTTTCTCTTATTTGATACCTGTCCTCTGGTTCCTCTTCCAGTATAAACTGAGAAAGAAAGCCTTTCTGCTTTCTTGGAGGCTTCTGCTCTCAATTATAGGCCTGTACCAAAGATGTACAGACGAAGGATTTGATTGATTTGTGCACTTGGGCAAGTTCAAGGCAGTAAGGTCTACTTCTGAGAAGGCCTGGATTCCATTTGCTCCTGCTGAAAAAAACCCCAGTCCCAGCAGTGCCCAGAATGAACTGAAGAAGGCAAATGGGCACTGAGTTCAGGAGAAAGGTATTGAGAGGTCAGTTCTTTCAGTTTTAAAGAAGTGGTGTTGTTTGAATCTCCTCCAATGGAAATTCACAGAAGACAGGGCTTCCTGTAAGAACAGGAGGTGGCCTAGCCTGGTCCTCTGACTAATGGAGCCGAGTACAAAGAGCTTCACAGGTTGATTGAGTTGGTTATCAGCAGTTGGGGGCCTGGGGCCCCCCAAATCTTCTCTAGATTTTGTTGATGAAGCACCAGTTACAGTTCTCCCAACTCACCTTCCATTGCCCGCACCATGACATACAGCTCGGCTAGACCCACCACTGAGGCAACGATCAATGCAGCCAGCACTTGCTAGGGAGAGGGAAAATCAGGCTTAAGGAATGTAAGCCAAGACTCAGCTCTCTAGCCCTCAGCACCTTTAATAGGGATGGAAAACCTCCAACCCAGCCCCTAAATCGAGGAGGAGGGGATCTGGCTTCTCTTGTGATTAATACCTGTCCAGCCCTCCCCACCAAATTGTTCCCTTTATTAGTGCATAAATATGCACAATTTCTAACCTGGGTAAGGCACTTTCACACACATCCCCTTTTTCCATTAACACCACCACTTGGGGCATTTTGTCTAGCCCATACTCACCGAGGCCATTTCTGTGAAGATATACTGGCTTCCAAGGTAAGTGCAAACAAAGGCAGCTGCCACCGTGACAATGAAGTTGAAGATGGTGATGACTAGAGCCTTCACTGACCTTACTTTGAGGAGGGGAGAAACTTTTAGGTCAGCATTCTCCAGGAGGCCCTGTTCCCTCAGAGCTGCCTCCCCCCATCAACCGCATTCCTTTTAAAGAACAAGTCTGAATAGCTGAGCCTTAAACCCAGAATGTTGGGGTGGAAAGAAATGCCACCTCCATCCCAAGGAGAGGCTTTGGAAGCTTAATTTCCTAGTATCTCACCTTGTTTTCCCAGGTCACTGAGCATCCCACCATGGCGTGAATCCTAGAAAAAAGAAAAAGTAGATGATTCAGAATGGAAGCAGCTCAGAGACAACCCACATATTTGTCAGTCTGGCCTCACCTCTCTCTATTCCTCAACACACTAATTTTGCATTTTCCATGTATTCTTTTGTCTAGGACCAGCCTGACTCTTTGCTGGACCACAGAGCAAGCATTTCAGAGAAGAGGACATAAGCTCCCAGTACTCATCTACTTCTCTCCTGTTTCAGGGAAAGAACATTCCAGAGATTAGTAGGGAACCCTGTCGGAAAAAAGTCTGCAAGGTTCATCTCCAACTCTACAATGTTTAAGAATCAGTAACATCTAAGCTCAGAGTCTCAGTGAGTGAGCTGGGAATTATGCAGTTTTAGACAACACAGAACTTGTATGGTTTTGGAATAGGAGACAAGCCAAGTTCCCATCTTGTTTCTTTCCTCTGCACCAGTTTTTATTTCTGTTTTTAGGGACTACTCAGTCCATACATTAAGAAGCAGGTCCTTACCTGACAGGTGACATTACGAGTGATCCGCTTATATTCCTCATTGGCCAGTTGTATCTTAATCTTCTCAAGCCGGGCAACTAGCTCTGGGTTCTAAAGCAGAAAAAAGTGTGTGAAAAGACTGATGTTCTTTTACATGTGTCTAGGAAGAAAAAAGTGTTTGAAAAGACTGATGTTCTTTTACATGCTAGGAAGCATGTTGTAATCACTGGTTCCAAGGGGGCACTGAATTACTAAGAGTGCCAGAGGACCTGCATACCAGGTTTGTCAACATAAAATCCAAGATCTAACATTTGCTTTTGGGTTAGGTCATTTCTGTGGCCACAACAGCTCTGTCCTAAATAGATTTAGGTCCCAGTGATGCTAAATACTCACAGGTCCACTGTACCTGATACTCTCTAAGATTCTTTATTTTTTTTTTTAAAGATGTTGATGAACCCTTATTTATTTATTTATTTATTTACATTCAGTGCTGAGAATCAAACCAAATGCCTCACATATGCTAGGCAAGCACTCTACTACAGAGCCACAACCCAGCCCTTCTAAGATTCTTTTTAGTTCTAAAGAGCTGCCTCTCCCTAATAGTTGAGCAGTCCACATTTTATACTTCTGGCTAGGCTATGTTAATTCTGGAAAATACCCAGTTTGTCTATTCCACCTCCTTTTAAAAAATATTTGTTTTAGTTGTAGGTGAACATAATAACCTTCAACTTATTTTTATGTTGTGCTGAGGATCGAACCCAGTGCCTCACACATGCTAGGCAAGTGCTCTACTACTGAGCCCCAGCTCCAGCCCCTATTTCCTTTCTTTATAGATAAGGGAATTGAGGTCCAGGAAGGAGGAGTGACTTCTTTGAGGGAAATCAGTGGCAGAACTAGGATTAAAACTCACATGCTATTCTTGGTTAGATCTTTCAACATAGCTTTTGTCACTCTATCTCCACTGTTTTGGAAACCGGATTTTTGGATCTCAGCTTTCTAAAGCTG